CGGGGACGCATGCGGACTGTGCCACTGGGACCTTCGGCGGAGCTCCTATGGGGCCATGAAACGTGTAAGGTGGGCCGAAATGAGTGGCCGGGACGCATGCGGACTGTGCCACTGGGACCTTCCTTCGGTGGAGCTCGTATGGGGCCACGAAACGTGTGAGGGGCGTGCCGAAACGAGTGGCGGGGACGCATGCGGACTGTGCCACGGGGATCCTCGGCGGAGATCCCGTGGGGCCACGAAACGTGTGAGGGGCGTGCCGAAATGAGCGGCGGGGACGCATGCGGACTGTGCCACGGGGATCCTTGGCGGAGATCCCGTGGGGCCACGAAACGTGTGAGGGGTGTGCCGAAATGACTGGCGGGGACGCATGCGGAATGTGCCATTGGGACCTTCGGCGGAGCTCCTATGAGGCCACGAAACGTGTGAGGGGTGTGCCGACATGAATGGCGGGGACGCATGCGGACTGTGCCACGGGGACCTTCGGCGGAGCTCCTATGGGGCCACGAAACGTATGATGAGGTGGGCCGAAATGCATGGCGGGGACGCATGCGGACTGTGTCACTGGGACCTTCGGCGGAGATCCGATGGGGCCACGAAGCGTGTGAGGGGTGGGCCGACATGATTGGCGGGGACGCATGCGGACTGTGCCACGGGGACCTTCGGCGGAGCCCCTTATGGGGCCACGAAACGTGTGAGGGGTGTGCCGACATGAGTGGCGGGGACGCATGCGGACTGTGCCGCGGGGACCTTCGGCGGAGCCACTCTGGGGCCACGAAGCGCTGTACTGGGTGGAGGAAACGCATGCGGACTGCGCCACGGGGACCTTCGGTGGGGCCCCATATGGGGCCACGCAACGCTGTACTGGGTGAGGGAAACGCATAAAGACTGCGCCACGGGGACCTTCGGCGGATCCCCCATGTGGCCACGAAACGCTGTACTGGGTTGGGAAGACGCATGCGGACTGCGCCACGGTGACCCTCGGTGGGGCTCCATATGGGCCACGAAACGCTGTACTGGGTGGGGGAGACGCATGCGGACTGCGCCACGGTGACTTTCGGTGGGACTCCATATGGGGCCACGAAGCGCTCTACTGGGTGAGGGAGGCGCATGCGGACTGCGCCAAAGGGGGCCTTCGGCGGAGCTCCTATGGGGCCACGAAACGCTGTACTGGGTAGGGGGACGCATGCGGACTGCACCACGGGGACCTTCGGCGGGGCTCCATATAGGGCCACGAAACGATGTACTGGGTGAGGGGGACGCATGCGGATTGCACCACGGGGACCTTCGGCGGAGCCCCTCTGGGGCAACGAAACGCTGTACTGGGTTGCGGGGGACGCATGCGGAATGCACCACGGGGACCTTCGGCGGAGCCCATATGGGGCCGCGAAACGTTGTACTGGGTGGGGGAGACGCATGCGGACTGCGCCACGGGGACTTTCGGTGGGGCCCATATGGGGCCACGAAACGCTGTATTGGGTAGGAGAAACGCATGCGGACTGCGCCACGGGGACCTTCGGTGGGGCTCCATATGTGCCCACGAAACGCTGTACTGGGTGAGGGAGACGCATGCGGACTGCGCCACGGGGACCTTCGGCGGAGCCCCTCTGGGGCCACGAAGCGCTGTACTGGGTGAGGGAGACGCATGCGGACTGCGCCACGGGGACTTTCAGTGGGGCTTCATCTGAGGCCACGAAACGCTGTACTGGGCGGGGTAGACGCATGTGGCACACACCACTGAGACCTTCGGCGGAGCCCCTGTGGGGCCATGGGGCGCTGTCCTGGGTGGGGGAGACGCACGTGGTACACACCACTGGGGCCTTAGGTGGACCTCCCTATGGGGCCACGAAGCGCCGTGCTGAGTGTGGGGGACGCACGTGGTACACCCCACTGGGGGCGGGGGGTGGGGGGCACGGGAGGGGGGGAGGAGGGAGGAGGAGGAGGATGAGGATGAAACGCGGGGACCGTCTCTTCAAAACGAGGACCCAACAACACAGGTTGGTTGGGAATCGCAGCAATGATGACAGGCTCTACTAAAATTACTCCGACGGAAGGACCCCACATGAGAATCCTCTGGGCGAATCTAGAAAAAAACCTCACCGTCGTCCTCGTGGTTGGTGAGGCGTCCTGGCTGTCGCTTCTGCGTATATTTCTTCTCGCCCTGGCGCGGGGAAACGTGCCGGGAATAGCGCTCTGGGAACACGACGAACACAAAGTTGCCTACAATTGGCTCTGGAAATTCAGAATGTGGCCCAGGAGTGGTGTTCTGGGAACACGAAGAACACGAAGTGGCCTAGAGTTGGCTCTGGGCATTCAAAATGTGGCTCGGGAATGGTGTTCTGGGAGCACGAAGAACACGAAGTGGCCTACAGTTGGCTCCGGGCATTCAAAATGTGGCCTGGGAATGGCGTTCTGGCAGCGCGAGAGCCCAAAAGTGGCGACAGTTACAGGAATTGGATGACCCGCTCGGATTAGTAACATGATCCGCGGGCCCCATAGGGAGGGAGCTCCCGCTTGAGACTTCCTCGCAATTCACTCACAGACGATGCCCATGTGGCCTGGGAATGGCGTTCTGGCAGCGCGAGAGCCCAAAAGTGGCGACAGTTACAGGAATTGGATGACCCGCTCGGATTAGTAACATGATCCGCGGGCCCCATAGGGAGGGGGCTCCCGCTTGAGACTTCCTCGCAATTCACTCACACAATGTGGCCTGGGAATGGCGTTCTGGCAGCGCGAGAGCCCAAAAGTGGCGACAGTTACAGGAATTGGATGACCCGCTCGGATTAGTAACATGATCCGCGGGCCCCATAGGGAGGGGGCTCCCGCTTGAGACTTCCTCGCAATTCACTCACAGACGAGGCCCAAGGCGAGTGAGTGAGTGAGTGACTGACTGACTGACTGGTGATGATGATGATGATGATGATGATGATGATGATGATGATGATGATGATGATGATGATGATGATCACACTCTCTCACGCGCACACTCATCATCATCATATGTGAGTGCTGATGAGTGAGTGAGTGAGTGAGTGAGCGAGTGAGGGAGTGAGGGAGTGAGTGAGTGAGTGAGTGAGTGAGTGTGTGAGGGATGATGAGTGAGTGAGTGAGTGAGGAATGAGTGATGATGATGATGGTGGGTTCCTCTTCCTGCGCGGGGTGTCCAGAGAAAACAAGAACCCCACTTTGGATGTGGGGGATAAACAAAAAGAAACGGCATGAAAATAACAATAAGGAGAACAAAAATACAACAGTAATAGCAATCAGCAGCAGCATCATCACCAGCATCATCAATATCATCAGCATCAGCATCATCACCATGATCAGAAGCATCATAATCACCAGCATCATCAGCATCCTCATCATCAGCATCATCAGCATCATCATTAGCAGCATCATCATCATCATCATCATCATCATCATCATCATCATCACCATCACCATCACCATCACCATTATCATCATCATCATCATCATCATCATCATCATCATCATCATCATCATCATCATCATCATCATCATCATTATCATTATCATCAACATCATCATCATCATTATCATCATCATCATCGTCGTCGTCGTCATCATCATCAGCAGCATAATCCTCATCATCATCGTCATCATCATCACAATCAGCGTCATCTTCATAGTCATCGTCATCAGATTCATCATCATCAGCATCAGCAGCATCATCATCATCAGCAGCATCATCATGATGAGCATCGTCAGCATCAGCAGCAACAAAATCCTCATCATCATCGCCATCAGCATCATCATCGTGACCAGCATGATCATCATCATCATCATCAGCATCATCAGCATCATCATCAGCATCTTCATCTTCATCTTCATCTTCATCTTCATCTTCATCTTCGTCATCATCAGTACCATAATTGTCGTCATCGTCATCGTCCTCATCATCGTCAGCATGATCATCATCACCACCATCATCATGCGCACCGTCATCATCATCCGCCTTCTCATTATCATCAGTTGCATGATGATCAGCATGATCGTCATCAACATGAACATCATCATCGTTGTCGGCATCGGTATCGGCATCATAAGCATCAGCATCATCATCATCGGCGTCGTCACCATCGCCAGCATCATCATCAGCAGCAGCATCATCATCACCAGCAACAGCTTCAGCATCAGCGTCGACATCATCGTCGACATCCTCATCATCATCAGCATAATCATCAGTATCAGTATCATCATCATGAGCTTCGTCATCATCATCACAAACACCAGCACCACCACCATCATCATCATCATCATCATCATCAGTATCACCGACATCGTCAGCATAAACATCATCACAACAACCACCACCACCACCATCATCAGCAGCATCATAATTAGCATCAGCATGCGCACCAGCATCAGCATCAGCATCATCAACATCAGCACCAACATCAGCATCATCAGTATCAGTATCAGTATCAGTATCAGTATCAGTATCAGTATCAGTATCAGTATCAGTATCAGTATCAGTATCATCATCATCAGCATCATCATCATCAGCATCATCATCATCATCATGATGATCATCATCATCATCATCATCATCATCATCATCATCATCATCACCATCAGCATTACCCTCCTTCTCCACATCGTCCCTCCCCCCCTCCATCCTCCCTCCTCCTCCTCCATCTCCTCCACCTGTTCCTCCCCCTTCCGCCTCCAGCTCCTCCTGCTCCCTCATCATCCTATTCCTCCTCCTCCTCATGCTCCCCCGCGCCCTCTAGCTCCACGTCCTCCCTGCACGCCTCCCTTCTCATTCACTCCCCCGCGCTCTCCATTCCCTCCACCGTTTCCTGCCCGTCCGACCCGGTCGATCCGTCAGTGCGGGGAGCTCGCCATCGCTCGGACGTCCAGTCCCTGTGTTTTGTTCGGTTTCGTGCGTGTTTTTTTCGCCAAATGATCAAGGATGCTCCTCGACGGTCCTCGCCGCAGGAAAAATGCACACGTCCGAGCGATGCCAAGGGAGGTGCGTCCTTGAGCTTCTGCTCCGCCTGCAGCGCGGCCACCTGGCGCTCCTGGCCACGGGGAGGGCGAAGCGAGGCGATCGCCGACAGCGCGCGCGCTCCTCTGGGGAGCCCGCCCGCGCCCATCAGCATCACCAACATCAGCGACGTCGTCATCACCAGCATCATCACCCTCATCATCATAACCATCGTCACCAATCATCGGCATGGTCATCATCATCCTGATCAACATCCTCGTCCTAATCGTCATCGTCCTCCTCCTCCTCCCGATCCTCCTCAAACTCCTCCTCATCACCATTATCATCATCAGCATCGGCATCGGAATCGGCATCGGCATCGGCATTCGCATCGGCATCGTCGTGGGGACGCGCAAACGAGGACGAGGACAACGGGGACGACCCCAATCAGCTTGACCTCCTCTTCCTCCTCCTCCTCCTCCTCCTCCTCCTCCCTCCTCCTCCCCCTCCCTCCTCCTCCCCCTCCTCATTCTCCTCCCCCTCCTCCTCCCCACCTGTTCTCCCCATCATCATCACCTCCTCGTCCTCATCCTCGCCCTCGTCCTCTTCCTCGCCCTCGTCCTCGTCCTCCTCCTCTTCCTCATCCTCATCATCCTCCTCCTGTCTCACGTTGGGCAAAGTTAGGCAGCGAAGCGGGAGCGTTCTCCCAACACTGGCTAGCCCCAGCCAAAGACGAACCGCGCAAGGCGGCGTATGACGCGGGGCTTCCACACAACAGCCGCTTGCCCATCCCTGGCGTATCCACAGTGGCACCCTAGGAGGACGAGAATGAAGGACGAGGATGGAGGAGGGGTGAGAAGTAGGAGAAGGGAGGGGGAGGAAAACAACAACAACAACAACAACAACAACAACAACAACAACACCACCAACAACAACAACAATAATAATAATGATAAAAATAATATTATAATAATCCGCCGGCCCCCGTGTGGGGCCACCATGCTGTAGGTCCAAGGTTCGCAGTTTCCTGTACCAGTTGCAGCTTCCAGCTTCCACTGTTACAGTTCTGCTTCTTGCTGCTTACTATTCCTTGTTGACTTCTTGCTGCTTACTGTTCCTTGTTGATGGACCGCGCGACGGGGGGGAGGCCTAAAACACGCATTTGTACCACGCCCTGAGCGTGTTGTCTGAATTGCTGGGGTGGGTAGAAATTGACACCCCTCACGCAGATCGGCGGGGTCAGGGTCCAAAAACACAAAGGCCCCCAAGAGGCCCAAGGAGACCCCCAAGATGCCTCCAAGAGGCTCCCAGGAAGCTCCCAGGAGGCCCCAAGAGTGTCCCCATAGGCTCCCAAGATGCCCCCTCCTCCTCCTCCTCCTCCTCCTCCTCCTCCTCGTCCTCGTCCTCGTCCTCCTCCTCCTCCTCCTCCTCCTCCTCCTCCTCCTGATCATCCCCGCCATCCTACCCCAAGTGTTCCCCGAAAGGGTTCCACAACGGTTGATGGGGAACACATGGTCCGATAGCTTGGCGAAGCTCTTGCCACAACGCTCGGCCACATGGGCGATTCTAAAAGGCAGGAAGCGGCGGTGATACGCCGTAGGTGTCTTCGATCTACTTCATGAGCATAAGTGGTATCAAGTTGTCATGTTCCAGCTGTGTGTACTTCGTGTTGTAGCACCTGCTCTTCGTCATAAGCCCAGTCTCCAGTGCAGACAGTTTGTTCCCCCGTACGGTGGGGAAGGACCCAGCGAAAAGCCTGGCCCGCCCTACCGACGCTTCTGGCGGTGCGACGAGGAGGAGCTACACAGGGAACAGGAGGGGTGCAGGAGGTGCAGGGTGCAGAGTCTGAGCGAAGCCGCTCGAGGCTCCCACGGGTGGTTGGGTTAGGGAACCTGGTCTGGGGCCCTCTTCCTCCTTACCTTCCACCCTCCCGTTCCCCGTCCTCCTCCTGCCGATTGTGCTCCGCCTGCCGCCAATCCCGCGCTTGTGACATCGGCACGGGCGCACGGCGGACAGGCATCGCTGACCGCAGCCAACCTGGCAGATCATCATGTTTGCGTGCCGATGCGCTCTCAGCTCTCAGTCTCCTTCCCCTATCCGCCTCTTTCTCATCCTCCTCTTCCTCCTCACGGCTCCTACTCCTCCTTCTCCCCCTCCTCCTCCACCCCCTTCTCCTCCTCTTCGTCCTCCTCCTTCTCCTCCACCTCCTCCCTCTCCTCCCTCCTCCTCTTCCTGTTCATCCTCATGTTAGAAACCAAGTGGATTATGATAGAAGTCTTCCAAGAGGCCCCCCGCCCTCTGCAAAAGGCCGGCCCCCTCGCGCTATCCACGCGCGCGCCGCCAACACGAGGAGAGGCAGGCATGAAGGAGGCGCGGCGGCAGCGCGCCGCGGCACCCCCACGCGGCGGCCACGCGCCGCGCGGGGGTGCGGAAGGGGGTCAGGGAGGAGGAGGAGGAGGAGGAGGAGGAGGAGGAGGAGGAGGAGGAGGAGGAGGAGGAGGAGGAGGAGGAGGAGCGCGGGGCCGCCGCGCCGCGTCCAGCTGCAGGGGCAACTAGCCGCGGCGGGGCGCCGGCACTCTTAGCGCGATGAGCGCCACGAGGAGGCGGAAGGTGAAGACGTAGGGCTCGACGAAGATGGAGCCCACGAAGCCGTCGGAGACGTAGTGCACAATAGTACTACCATCCCAGACTTGCGACAGATCGCGCCATGGGCGGTCCTCGCTGCATGGCCAGATATCCCCGCATCCTCGGCGGGAGGGACTGCAGGTAGGGACGGCAGGCTGTCCCTACCTGCACATTGCGCGGCCATCCACCCTCGCGGGTTGCGAAGCTACGAGGGGGCGACGAGCGCGAGGTGCAAGTCCACGCTCGACCCGTTTGACCGCGTCAAGCTGGTTCCTTCGTGTGGCTGCATTGCCAGAAAGACCAGCGCAGGAAATGCCCAGCTTGCGCACAGCGCGGACCTCCCCAATGGAGCAGTGCGCGCCACACCTGCGACAGCAGTAAACTTGGTTGTTCAGGAACACGTCATGACCCAAGTCTGCAAACACCGCTGACGCGTCCTCAGCCGTGGGCTGGGCGGGCCAGGAATCCTGCCGAGAAACTGTTGCCCGTCCTTCGCTCGCCAACGCAGCCCCCACAGCAACGCCAGCACATTGGTCACCACATAGTGTCCAATCGTCGCCACAGCTGCGAAAGTACTCGGCGTTGAGGGCGCGCGCCACACGCGACGGCCGACATTCACGATGAGAGCCTGTCTGCAGAGAGTCTAACGGGGCACCCGTAGTGGCCGTGACATCGCAGTGGACGCATCGATACCTGCCTAACGAAACCGAATGCGCAGAAACATGGTCCGTATTGCGCGAAATCGTAACGGGCACGGTATGCTCGCCTGGCGGCCGCGGAACCTCCACATCACGTCCCCAGGCCTCACGGACAACAACCTGCAGCGCAGCCCAGGAGACAAACTGTAAAACCTCGCGGTGCTGTCCAGAGCAGCAGTGACGGCTTCCGCCGCGGAGCCAGCCAGCGCATGGGAGGCGGCTCCACAGCGAGCGAAGTAGTCGGCCCACCCGTTGCCAATCCAGTCTCGCAACTCATAGGGGCCGGCACCAACGAGTTCATCCAAAGACCTGTGGGCTGGCGTCCACCTGAACGTCGGAGGGCGGCATAGGGTCGGTCGTCGGCAAGCCTCGAAGATGTCCCGCCAGGCGCGGGCATGCTTGGTCCGTCCTTGCGCGAGACCAGGACACCAGCGTTCGCCTTCCTGCACCAGCGCCAGCAGGTCCGTCACGAAGCACTGGTGATCAGGAAAGGCCTCAAGTCCCTCTCTGATGGCATGCCGCTCAGCGCGTCCAACAGTCTGCACCAAATACGGAAGAAGCCCATATCGCGCGCGAACTGGAAGCCACGAGCGAAGATCGAGCTGAACCACGGCCTGCCCACATCTCCGGGCCTCAGGGACGCCCGAGTCATACCCCGACCCGTCCGTGTAAGAGACTGGACTCCAAACGCCATGGGCGTCGCCCCAAAGAAACACTTCCATGCTCGGTGTACCGCTCCGCGGCACGTACGCAGGCGGCTCAGGAAGGCCAGGAATGAAGTAAGACTGCTCGAAATTCGACATTCCTGACTCTAGCCCAGCCTGTATGAGCTGGTCACGCACCTCCGCTAAGGCCTGCGGGAGGTGGAGGATGCCACGCCTGTCACTCGGAGACAATGCAGGCCCCGAATCTGCCTCATCAGCCAGAGGGCCATTCTGCACGGGGCATGTGGCCTGGCCAGGCGTCACGTTCGCAACACTCGGCATCTCCTGCGTCTCCTGCTCAAGAACGTCCTCCTCTGCGTGGGGTGGGACATCAAACACGGGCTCCTCCGTCTCCTGCCCGACCACGGGGAAAAAGTCTTCCTCGTCCTCCATCGTACTGCGCCGTGGATGACCAGAAGCAGGGGGAGGTTCAGCACATCGACCAGGCTCAGGGACATGGTCCTTCGCCTCAGACAAGGCAATGGGCATCTGCGAACCAGCCGCCGTAAGGCCTGGGACATGGTCCTCTGGCTCATCCGTCGTAAGCTGTGTTGGTGGGGACTGCACAGTGAGGCCATGGGCCTGGTCTGTTACACCTTGTACGCGAGCCAGGGATTCACTCGCAGGCAGGCGAGTCAGCAGCGCAGGACATTTCAAGAAAACATGGCCCCATCCGTCGTCCGACGTCAGGGCCTTACCACAGGCTTGGCACGGCCGCATATCCCTGCCTAGTTGCATGTCCCGACGAAAGGGCGTAGGAATGTTGAGGAGGAGGAGGAGGATGAAGAGGAGGAGGAGGAGGAGGAGGGACAGGGAGGTACGAAGGAGGTGGGAACATCTCGCATGATTATATGCTGCTCGCTGGGGGCGCTAGCCTCGCGCGAAACTGCCTTGTCAGACCAGAACTCTGGCCGGAGATGGACAGGAGGAGGAGAGCAAAAAAACCTGTCTTGGAGCGTTTCCCGAGGTGACCTTTTGGCCTTTTGGGGCCATGTGAAGTTGGCGTCGAAGATACCTCGCTGTCAGCAATCAGCCCAACAGGGCAACTCTCGCTGTACTTCGCACAGCGCTTGTATATGCAAAAACACACGTAGATCTGCACGCGCGGACTCGTGCACTGCCACATGGATGGCAGATGCAGCAGGGCAACAGTACTGAGAGGGGGGAGGGCATTGGTTCCAAGCTGGACAAGCGAAAACCAGCAAAATAGAGACGAGCAGAGATGGCGAAGGGAGTGCGAACCTATGGGAAAGGTAAAACTGCACAGAAAGGAAGACATGGGAACAAGTAGCAAACAGAGACGCAGCAACCAAGCGGCGACGCACCAGCCACACAAATAATGTAATGACTGTCGGCGCTTCAAGCCAAATAGAACTGATCCTTAACGTACTGCTGTACGCGCTCGATCTTTTGATTCATCTCGCCCTCCTGGTCGTCCATGATTCTTCTCATCTCCTCGCCAGCGAAAATGGAGAGAATCGGACGCAGTCTCTCAATACTGCAGGTCACGTCTTCTCACTGCCACCTTGACCTGTGAACCCGATGATAAGCGGCACCCTGCCTCTCCAATTATTGCTCTTCCTCTTCCTCATTCCTACTCACTCGCCCCCTCCCCTTCCTCCTCCATCCCAGTTTCTTATTAATAACTCCTCCCTGACGCACCCCCAGACGTGTCGGTCGGGTGGGCTGGGCGTTTCGCCTGGGACTTCCTCATAATGTATGATCCAGAGCCTAGAATTAGGTCCGGCATGTCCTCCTACAGGCGGATTTTAGAACAACAACATACAATTGTCAAACATATATATATATATATATATGTATATATACATATATATATATACTAGAAACACGCGCGTTTCGCCCTCGCTCAGGTTCTAGCACGCCCAAGTCCTTGACAAGCTGACGCGCACAATTATTGGAAGGCATCTCGGGGGCCTTGTAGGCGCTATCGGGAAGTTCTGAGGGTTCATTAATTTGAAAGCCCGTGTCACAGAGTTCCCTTGGGGCTCCCTCGAACCCTCCACTGGGTACCGAAGAAGCTCCATATGGTGACCCATCAGGGACGCAAGAGTGCTTTGGAAAGTCTGCCTCATGCGCACGCACGATGCGTGCAACAGGGCTGAGAGAGCACTCAACTGGGGATAGCCCGAAGAGCAACGAGGAGGTCATCTTCAGGGAAACGGGTCAACGGACAAGAGCTTGAATACCCCTTCGACGGAGGGGGAGTGTGTGTGTATGCGTATGTGTGTGTGTGTGTGTGTGCAAGCGTATGTGTGTGTGTGCCCTGGCCCATGATGGAAAAACCGTGTGTGTGTGTGTGCATGTGCGTGTATGTGTGTATGTGTATATATGTGTGTGTGTGCGTGAGTATGTGTGCATGTGTGTGCGTATGTGTGTATGTGTGTGCGCATGATTGTATGTGTGTAAGTGTATGTATGTGTGTATGTGTATGTGTGTATGTGTGATTGTCTGTATGTGTGTATGTGTGTTTGTATGTTTGTGTGTACGTGTGTATGTTTGTATGTATGTCTGTGTGAATATGAGTGTATGTGCGTTTGTGTGCATGTGTCTGTGTCTCTGTGTACGTGTGTGTGTCTACTCTACGTGTGCGTGTACGTGTGCATGTGTAAGTGTGTAAGTGTGTATGTGTGTATATGTGCATGTGTGTATGTGTGTATGTGTGCATGTGTCTGTGTGTCTGTGTCTGTGTACGTGTGTCTGTGTGTCTGTGTTTCTGCGTGTCTGTGTGTCTGTGTGTGACTGTTGTTCAGTGTGCCTGTGTGACTGTGTGTCTGTGTGTCTGTGTGTCTGTGTGCCTGTGTGTCTGTGTCTGTGTGTCTGTGTCTGTGTCTGTGTGTCTGTGTGTGTGCTGTTCGCTCTGCGTATTCCTAGGCTTCTGGCTGGCCACTGCGCGCATTTGGGCATAGAGCCCCATTCCCACACCACCCACCCTCTGCAATTTACAGCGCGCACTCTTCGCAAAGCTGTTCTGTCGGCTACATCAATCTGAAACTAGCACCTTCAATCTGCTGCACACGACTGAAGCTCCTCTGCGCCACCGACTGAAAACATTGTGTGTGCGTGTGTGCGTGTGTGCGCGTGCGCACGTGGGTGCGTGCGTGCGCGCGCGCGTGTGTGCATGCGCGCGTGCCTGCGTGCGTGCGAAATTGTGTGTGTGTGCGCGTGTTTGTGCGTGCGTGTGCGCGTGCGCGTGCGCGTGCGAGAGCGCGCGCGTGTGTATACAGGTGCGTGTGCGTGTGCGTGTGCGTGTGTGTGCGTCTGTGCGTGCGTGTGTGTGTGTGTGTGCGTGTGTGTGTGTGTGCGTGTGTGTGCGTGGGTGTGTTTGCGCTTGTGCCTGTGCGTGTGTGCGTGTGTGCGTGTGTGCGTGCGTGCGTGTGTGCGTGTGTGCGTCCGAGCGCGCGTGTGTGGATGTGTGCGTATCTGCGTGCGTGCGCGTGTGCGCGTGTGCGTGTTTGCGCGTGTGCGCGTGTACGTGTGCGCGTGTGCGCGTGTGCGTGAGCGAGCGCGTGTGCGTGTGCGTGTGCGTGCGCGCGTGCGTGGGCGTGCGCGTGCGCGTGGGCGTGCGGGTGCGTGTGTGTGTGCGTGCGTGCGTGTGCGTGTGCGAGTGCGTGGGCGTGGGCGTGTGCGCGTGCGTGCGCGCGCGCGCGCATGTGCGCGCGCGTCTGGCCCATCCCCCGGCGCCGCTCCGCCGCCGCCAGGCCCCGCTCGGAGCGGGCCCGGCTTCCTCCCTCCTGCCGTTGCCAGGCGTTCCTCCTCTCCCCCGCGCATTGCAGCTTAATTCGCATGTGCACGTCCTGATTATGCTCTTCCGCCACGCAGTCACTCTGCCTAGCCACCGACGCGAAACATGTGTGTGTGTGTGTGCGCGTGAGCGCGTGTGCGTGCGCGCGCGTGCATGTGCGCGTGCATCTGCGCGTGCGCGCGCGTGCGCGCGCGCGTGTGAGGGTGCGCGCGCGCTCGCATGCGTGAGCGAGCGCGTGGGTGTTGTGTGTATGCGTGTCTATGTATGCATGTATGTGCATGTGCATGTGCATGTGCATGTGCATGTGCATGTGTACGTGTACGTGTACGTGTACGTGTATGTGTACCTGTACGTGTACGTGTACGTGTACGTGTACGTGTACGTGTACGTGTACGTGTACGTGTACGTGTACGTGTACGTGTACGTGTACGTGCACGTGTACGTGTACGTGTACGTGTACGTGTACGAATACGTGTACGTGTACGTGTACGTGTACGTGTACGTGTACGTGTACGTGTACGTGTACGTGTACGTGTACGTGTATGTGTACCGTGTACGTGTACGTGTACGTGTACGTGTACGTGTACGTGTACGTGTACGTGTACGTGTACGTGTACGTGTACGTGTACGTGTACGTGCGTGTACGTGTACGTGTACGTGTACGTGTACGTGTACGATTACGTGTACGTGTACGTGTACGTGTACGTGTACGTGTACGTGTACGTGTACGTGTACGTGTACTTGTACGTGTACGTGTACGTGTACGTGTACGTGTACGTGTACGTGTACGTGTACGTGCACGTGCACGTGCACGTGCACGTGCACGTGTACGTGTACGTGTACGTGTACGTGAACGTGTGCGGGTACGGGTACGGGCACGGGTACGGGTACGAGTACGGGTACGTGTACGTGTACGTGTACGGGTACGTGTACGTGTACGTGTACGTGTACGTGTACGTGTACGTGTACGTGTACGTGTACGTGTACGTGTACGTGTACGTGCACGTGCACGTGTACGTGTACGTGTACGTGAACGTGTACGTGTGCGTGTGCGTGTGCGTGTGCGTGTGCGTGCGCGTGCACGTGCACGTGCGCGTGCGCGGGTGCGCGTGCGCGTGCGCGTGCGCGTGCGTGTGCGTGTGCGTGTGCGCGTGCGCGCGTGCGCGCGTGTGCGCGCGTGCGCGTGTGCGCGTGTGCGCGTGTGCGCGTGTGCGCGTGTGCGCGTGTGCGCGTGTGCGCGTGTGCGCGTGTGCGCGTGTGCGCGTGTGCGCGTGTGCGCGTGTGCGCGTGTGCGCGTGTGCGCGTGTGCGCGTGTGCGCGTGTGCGCGTGTGCGCGTGTGCGCGTGTGCGCGTGTGCGCGTGTGCGCGTGTGCGCGTGTGCGCGTGTGCGCGTGTGCGCGTGTGCGCGTGTGCGCGTGCGCGTGCGCGTGTGCGCGTGTGCGCGTGTGCGCGTGTGCGCGTGTGCGCGCGTGCGCGCGTGCGCGCGTGCGCGCGTGCGCGCGTGCGCGTGTGCGCGCGTGCGCGCGTGCGCGTGTGCGCGTGTGCGCGTGTGCGCGTGTGCGCGTGTGCGCGTGTGCGCGTGTGGTGCGCTGCGAGCGCGCGTGTGCGCGTGTGCGCGTGCGCGCGTGCGCGTGTGCGCGTGCGCGCGTGGCCGCGCGCGTTGCGCGTGCGCGCGCGCGCGCGTGCGCGCGCGCTGTGCGCGTGCGCGTGCGCGTGCGCGCGCGCGTGCGCGCGCGGGTGTGCGCGTGGATGTGCGCGTGGGTGCGCGCGTGCGCGTGCGCGTGCGCGTGCGCGTGCGCGTGCGTGTTCGTGTGCGTGTGCGTGTGCGTGTGCGTGTGCGTGTGCGTGTGCGTGTGCGTGTGCGTGTGCGTGTGCGTGTGCGTGTGCGTGTGCGTGTGCGTGTGCGTGTGCGTGTGCGTGTGCGTGTGCGTGTGCGTGTGCGTGTGCGTGTGGCGTGTGCGTGTGGGCGTGCGTGTGCGTGTGCGCGTGCGTGTGCGTGTTGGGTGTGCGTGTAACGTGTGCGTGTGCGCGGGCGTGTGCGTGTCGCGTGAGGCGTGTGGCGTGTGGCGTGTGCGTGTGCGTGTGCGTGTGCGTGTGCGTGTGCGTGTGCGTGCGGCGTGTGGCGTGTGGCGTGTGCGTGT